GGGCGGGTGTTTGCTACCGCGGCCAACTCCCTCCCTCCCTGCCGTTCCCCGGATCCCCTGAGACTTACCCGAAGGCGGCCACAAGAAGAGCAGCAGCAGCAACAGCTGGGCAGCCCCGCGCACCATCCCGCGCCGGTGACCGCCGGCCACGGAAGCTCCTCCCCGCCGCTGCGTCTCCGACACAGGGCAGCAGCTCCGGTCTCGGCCGCCCGGACAGGAGAGAGGCTGAGCGCCGGTGGAAGAGCCAAGGGGGGTGAGGGGGACCCGGTAGGAAGGAACGGAATCCGCAAGCGGGTGGATCGGCGGAGCTCCTGAGGGCCGGAAGCGGGCCGAAAACTATATTACAGCGTCCGACGCCGGGATCGCTTCCTCGATCCGCCGCCCGTTCCGACGCTAAACCTTCGCCGCCGCTGTTTGTTATTGTCGTCACTCTCTTCCGCCGCAAAGCACGCTGGGAAAGTCACAGGGCCGGAAGAGCGCGAGGGAAGAGGATTGCGGAACCACAGAGAACACCAGGTGGTTCTCAGGATAGAGCGTCCAGAGGGGTCTCCTTTTCAGGGATGGATGCGAGGGGGGAGGGTGCATTATTCCCGCTTCGGAACGCGGGCACTATCACAGAGAGGGAAATGGCAGAAAGGCCAGGAAGGGCCGGCTTGTTAGAGGTTCGGAGGCTGAAGTAGGTGCCTAGTTGGAGTGCGCCCTTGGGGGGGGGGGCGCGTGGTGGCTGCCGGCTAGGTTATCAGTTTAGGGAGAAGCTCAGTGGGCTTGATAAGGGGCAGCATTGATAGGGGGCTTCGGCTAAAAAAAGAGAGAGAGAGTTGAATGCCTTGCGAGACACAGGCATGAAGGAAGGGAGGAGACGGGGTGATAGATCTTCTTGTGGTTGAAAGATGTGAAGTGGGGTCAGCTTCCTTTGGGAAAATGGGTGGGGAGGGAGGCGGCGTGGGTGGGCTGTGTCGGGCTTAGCGGTGCAAGGACGTGAGATGTTGACAGAATGGCCTATTTAAACATCAAGTGGAAAAGCAGTTACTTAAAAATACTTGGGAGAAATAAAAGAGACACGTCCATTGCTCTGGTTTGCAGTAGAGAAAGGGGGAGTTATTGGGGGGCATCTCTTAGGAGTGAGGTGGGACCTCCTGGTCCTCCAAAGTTTGTTGAACTCTTAGCTCCTGTCATGGCTGGCCACTGGCTAGGCTGAGCACAATGGATGGGAGTCGATGTCTAGCAATATTTCGAGAGTCATCACTTTCCTGCCCTCCTACCAGACCTTTCCAAAGTTGGGAGTATGGTAAAATACAAACAAAAAGTCTTATGCCCCAAGACATTGCTTTTGTTTGTTTGTTATACATGCCGAACATGGCCACCTTGTTGAAAACTGAGATTAAACTGTTTGTGGAGAGAAAACCAGGTTTCTGAAGTTAGTGGATTATTCTCTGGGCAGGTATGGTGAAATGCTGTTTCAGTGTGGTGCAGTTTGTCCTCAAAGGGTAAAGATGCCCAGAATCCTGTTTGCAGCACTTTAGATTGTTTGAATCTGGCCTTGTGGGCCTTGTATTCCTTTCTGATGTTTCTGACAGGCTTTTGTGTATGTGGCAGTATCATATTGGAATTCTGTGCCATTTGTAATGCTGAGGCACTTACAGTCCCTTGTACAGTAGGGAAGCTGTTGTGTGGATGAAAAAGCTTTAAATCATGAAAATGTGAGGCTCCATCCAGAGTTCCCTGTATAGCAGTCGCTAATAGTATAGGAAGCAAAGTGGTGTTGTGATTTTTTACAGTCAGTGCATCCTTTTTTTATCTTCTGCAGAATAGAAAGAGTTGGTGATGGAGGAAGAAAAAGAAATTTTCTTGCCCACCAAGAAGCACTTCTTTCATTTTCATCCTTGATATCCGCAATACTGTTGATCAAGTTGTGCTACCAAGTAAGGCTAGGAAAAATGGCTTATAGAGACTTTGGACTTTAAACTGTTCAGCTGTGTTGATCAATGTAAAGATTGGGAAAGAGTACATATTGCCATTTTTGCTAGGAGCTGCTTAAGCTCTGTAGAGTGGGAGCTTACGAATAATCATTGGAATAGTTTTCGCTATATATTCCTCTGCAGGTGATTGATTATAGTGGGTCAGTCATTTTATGAAGGATAGTGGGGATCTTGTATACTGTGTGGCAGTTTTAGTTGTCCCAGTGTTCATTGGGAGAGTTAAAGAATTAAAAGAAACAGATTTTCTGGAATAATTTTGCAGTCATTACACTCTTGTGATTTTGAATTTTGCTCATTTTGACCACATTAGTGGATGCTCTTGTTTTGACTTAGTGAAAGCATCTATATAATTTGTGTCACTCTGAAATCTTGCAGGAAACTAATATGGGAATGGATTACCTTCCTGTTTTTATGGTCAGAAAGAATGAATGTGGTTGCCTTCTGCATATATCTACTTTGAACGTTAAGTAGGCTGTTTGGCTAAATACCTCAATGAGGTTGGAGTTCAGTTCCCCACCGTGTATGCCAGAAAAAGAACCGACCTTTGTAGCCTTGAGAAAGCTGTACAGTCCCAGGGTACTCCAAGAAGAGAATAGCAAGCCACTTCTAAGTGCCCTTGTTAAGGAGGCACAGTGGGGAATCAAACGCCTAATTATTAATAACTATGTGTTCATCAAGCATAAATGCTTAGATATTGTTTAGAATGTTTTGTTTTGTTTTAAATCTGAGGCAGTTTCTAAAGAATACTTGTTGCATTCTCCAGTTATTCCATGGCAGAAAAAATTAGTGAGAAACTGGGATATTGCTCCATGCTGAAAATTTATTAATTTATTTATTGGATTTCTATCCCACTCATCTAGACCACTGGTTCTTAATCTTGGGTTACTCAGGAGTTTTGGACTGCAACTCCCAGAAGCCTTCACCACCAACTGTGCTGACTGGGGTTTCTGGGAGTTGCAGTTCAAAAGCATCTGAGTAACAAAGGTTAAGAACCACTGATCTAGACCAAAGGTCTACTCTAAATATAAATTTAATGGTGATTTGGGAACTTTTATGAGAGTTAAATTAAGTACACTATCAGGGAAGATAGGATAAAAGCAGTGCAAAAATAAATAAAAAGTTTTGAAAGTAATAAAATCCTCATTATTATAATATACAGTCAAATCAGTTCTGACTTATACTGGCTCTTTTCAGGGTTTTCCAGGTAGAGAATACTCCAAAGTGGCTGTACATTCTTCTGGGGGCACCCTGGAACAGTCCAGCTTGCTCAAAGCCACCTAGGTTGGCTGGAGGCACAGTGGAGAATTAAACTCTCGACTTCTGGCTCCCAGCAAGCTGAAAGGAAAAGTAGGGGGCAATTCTGCAGAGACAGTTTTGCAGAGCAACTAATTACATAGATGTAGAGGCAGGTAAGGAAAATGAGTAGTATGGGATACTAGAAGAATGATAGGGCAGATTTGGATTCTTAATCTTTGAAGAATGTGTACAGATTGCAGAGAAAATGAAAGAAAAAGTGGATCAGTTTCAGAGGATTAATAATAACAGAAATTTATCAAAATATCTCACTAGGCAATTGGCATACTTTTCTAGATTACCAACCAGCCATTATGTTGAATGACTGTTTACCTTGGTAGAATGAAGCTCTAAGCTTGGATTGCTTTGTTGGAAAATGAAAGCAGGTGTAGAAATATTTGAGTGTGGAGGTATCACAGTACCGATTGTCTTTTTCTTCTTCCTTTTTCAAGTTATGTATTAATTGGTTTTCCATTCTGATGACAGGTCGTTCAGCTTGGTGATTATGCTGGCAGTCTCTCAGTGGCAGCCTCATAGTGTCCAGAGGTTTTCACTTGCATAAATATAATATGATGGAGAAAATGTTAGTGAATGAACTTACCATTTTATCAAAAAGGTGGAGTAAATCCTGGATATGAGTTAGCAAACTGCAACGTTTACTGAGGTAAATGTTTGGAACGAATTTTAATTTTTATAGTCTGGTTGGAAGGTTAGGTATGTTGCCAAATCATAAAGCAGTGGTGTTGGAAGCACATTTTTCCTAAATTTCAATTATTTTTGCCCCATTTTGGCAGCCAGTCACCTAACTGGGCAATTACACTGGCAATTTCTTTATGAGGGACTGTCCTCTTATTTATCCTTAGACTTATGCACTTGAGATCAGGCAGCCTTGGAATGGCATGAAAATACTGTGAATTGATTGATGAATGGAAAAATTTAAAAGCTATGGTAACCACTTGGAAACATATGGATTTTGTTCTTACAAGAAGCTTGACAAAGCTCTTTCCCTGCTCCTTTTCCCATAAACAGCTGTGCATTGGGTTATGAAACACATGATAATGCTAAGTTGCTAGACAGTGGTTGCATTTGGTATAGTGCAAAGTTACACCTGTGGAAGTTCCTGAAGAGTTATGCCCAGGCAGTTCATGTATCTTTTTACACAATTATTTGTGCAATGAACCACACAACAAATTGTCCAATTGATTACCAAGTACTACATGCACAATGGATGATGCAACTAACCATGCACTGACCAAGCAACTGCATTTGGGGGAATGCTTACTTGTTGCAAATTTCTCAATGACTTGCACAGCCTCAAGTTATGCAGCTGTAGATACACAACAGGATTTTAGCCAGTATTTATTGGAGCAACATTGGTGACATAAGTACAAAATTGATTTTGTAGGGCTTGAATGGTAGAATACCATGGTGACTGATCAGGGGAAAGAGATACAGAGGTTATAACATATGTTGCGTAAAGTCCATTTCTAGTAACAGGACAATATGTTATGCTTACTTTCTCACTTTCGCATATAGAGGTCTGGCTATGGCTTATCTCCACTGTGGAAACATTTATATAAAAAAGATGAACAGTGTGCTTCATTGTAGATTTGCAGAGAGGGTCACATTGACAAGCTCTGTGATTTTCTTATTTACATTTTAGTCCACAAAACAGTTTGTTCCAGAGGGCAACATGATAGAACAAATCCAGAAGATCCCATAGGAAAAAAGTCCATGTCCTTTTTTGTTGTGAGTTGGACTCACAAAGGGTTTTTAGCAACAATTCACAGAGAAAACAGTGGAACTTAACCTGCTTAGGCAAGAGTCAAAGCTCCGAAAACCAAGATTAGAAGGTAAAGCTTCTGTTGTTTTGTTGCTTCATTATAGAAACCAAAGGGAAAGTTAACTAAGAAAGTTAGGCAACATTATAGAATGGAGAATAACCCTAGTTGCAGTCTCTGTACAAGTACTGTATTACATTATCTGCCAACAATAATTCAAGGAATTGGGTTTGTGTTAAATTTGAGATTACCCAATTAAACATGAGGCCATTGTGTGCTATATTTACCTAGTACTTAAGCTCCTCAGGTTTTTTGTTGTTTTTGTCCAAAACCAGATAGAGGGATGTGTTCTTTTGCTTTAAGGATGAAAAGACATGGCTTTTTGCATTTTATGGCCCTGTAGCACCTGTAATAAAAGGCAGTATTTGTCTGCTAAGGATCCAAATATTGTTCATTACAGATATATTCTAATAATTAAATGTGAACCTATAGTATTTACAATAAGATCTAAAGGTACAGAATACTGAGTTAAATTTTCTTTTATTTCAGGACGTAGTAATCACACTCATTTCAAAGAGTTTCCTTAAACAAAAAACAGTGTCTTTATCTTAAATCTTTTTTAAAAATAGGGAAAAGAAAGGCTGATCTAAAAAGATGCAAAAACAATAATGCAAGAGTTGTATAAGTATGTGGGCTGTATGTATATGGCTTTTTGTGCGCATGTGCCAGCGGTTACAATGGCATTTGTGTGTAGGGTGTGTGTGTGTGTGTGTGTGAGAGAGAGAGAGAGAGAGAAGTATAGTGCATATGTTGCGTAGTAAGAAATAATATGAAAAATGGCGCTGTAATTTTGTGAATGCTTGTGTGCAAGTGCAGTGATGTCTCTGTGAAAGAAAAATGGAAACCATTACAGAACATTCAGCAAAGAGTTCATGATACTCTGAGGGCTTCAAACATTTTAGTGGGCCACTTGCAAAATTTTTCAGCACTCCACATTTTTTGCTTTTTTCTGCCTTCGAGAAGGGAGATAGATGTTCTGTGGTACAGGAGGAGAGTCTGTGGTGTGAGAGTTCTCTCTTTTCTGCCCTCCTGTACCCTAGAGAGCTTCTGCAGTTGCTAACAAATTTTGGTTGCACTTCTAGAAACTTCAGTAGCAGCCACTGGGTGGTGACGATAGTAAGTTTTGGGGTGCATTGTGCCCCCATCATCAAACACAGGAGATTGCCTACCCCCATACAAACTAAATAGAGAAAATAGATTTGCAGAGTTATTAGCTGTCATTTTGAAAATATACTTCCAAATATGGCAGATGGCCCCTTATAACTATTGTTATCACACAGAGGGGCCATGAGTATCAAGTCCGTAGGTGTTCTGCATGAATATGTAGTCCATTTGTTTTACTGCACGAACACTCAACCAGCAGATGCAGCAGACAAATGTCCAGGGCTTGTACAATAGTGTTCCTCATGGAATCTGTTTGTTTTACAATAGCCAGCAAAAGTCTGCTGACTGATCTAATGAATAGAAGAACAACTGTGGCCATAAGCACTATCATGCCCTTGCACTTTTTTTATTTTGTTATTTCTGCTTGCCAATTCTGTCACAATGTTGTCTGTTTATACTTGTTTATACCTAATTTCCTTTTCTATATGAACAAAAAACAAGAGAAGAAAAGTTCACTCATTCTTCAACTTGTAGCTGGCCAGCAAAGATCACATTAATACACCCTGTTTTTGATTGAACTTGCTCAACAGGTAAGTTGCCTTCCAGCTTCAGACTCTACTAGGCAAGATCAGACTTTGTTCTAAAACTTTTTTTTATTTGCTTTGGAGAAACTACTTTGTGACTTTTGTTGCTGGCTAGATTCTGTGATTTATATGATGACACAAAAACCATTATCCCTCTTTGCATTTTATTTAGGATGAACAAGGAACTGGCTTGAAAGGCATGATGGGTCTTAGCTCCTTCATACATGATACACACCTCTTTCAGGTGTTAAACATCCATTAGCATGGATGTCTGAGGCAAGGAAACCTTGTCTACACATCTATGTGTGGAGCTGACATCTCTGCCTCTCTAGATTTTGCTGTGCTGAAACATTCATTTTTCACCACTGGCTCTGCTATTCAGAATGACTGGAAATATAGCCCAGAAACTTCTAGAGTGCCAGATATTCCCTAACCCTCTAATGGCAGTTTCCCTGTGCCCCGGAACCCTATATAATTCAAGTTCCAGGACCCATGGAAGCCTTGCAGTAATGTGAAGAGTCTTCAGCTCACACTTTGATGCTTGGAGGATCAGGTAGGGCAGGAGTTGCATCAATTTTCAAAGCTTCCCCCTCCCCGCTTTCTGCAAGCAACAATAGAATTAGCTTTTGATTTACATTAGGAAGAGCTGTGCTTAATCAGGCCAAAGGTGTATCTAGTCCAGCGGTTCATTCCCTAATTACACAACCAGCTCCGGCTGCAAAATTTTGCTTCTGCTTGCGACCGGAGCTTCCACTTACGAACAGAAAAAGGCAGGGGAAAAGGTGGGAAATTCAAATTTCTAACTAGGTGGTGACGAGGCTGCTTCTTTTTAGCAACTTCACACAAGTTCTTAGAGACAGTGCCTCAGAGGAGACTTGGGACTGCCTCCTTCTGCTTCTGAGCATGTGTGTGTGTGTGTGTGTGTGTTTGCAGGGAGGCTTCAGGCTGCCTGGTAAGCTAAGGTGCTGTTTTCTGCTTTTAAAAAAATGTTCTGGGTGTTTTTGCAGCATGGTTTTGAGCTGGGGGGGTTATGTTTCTGTGCTGTGATCGGTCTTGGGGGGGTGTTTCTTTTTTTTGTTCCCCCCCCCCATTTCCAATGGGGCTTGGGGACTTTCGTTGCTTTTTGGAATGTTTTTCCCATTTCCAATGGGTCTTGGGGGGTTGGTTGTTTGGGGGGGTTCCCCCCTGATTTCCGATGGGTCTTGGGGGGTTGGTTGTTTGGGGGGGTTCCCCCCTGATTTCCGATGGGTCTTGGGGGTTTGGTTGTTTATTGGGAGGTGTTTCCCCATTTCGGTTGGGTCATGCATGTTTCCCTTGCTTTTTCCTTTGTTTTCTTTGCATTTCCAACCTGCCCCCTTTGTTCTCTGTGCATTTCTGATATGCTCTGTTTTCTGTGCATTTCCAATGGGTCTTGCACGCTTGATTGCTTTTCTTTCCCCCTCCCCCCTTCGGCCAGAAGGGATTAATTGCGTTTCCAATGAGTTTTGCAGTGATTTCTTTGCATGTGTGTGTGAATTTTTTCCTCAGCTGGAATGGATTAATTGCATTTCAGTGCATTCCTATGGGAAATGGTGCTTCGACTTACAACCATTTTGAGCTACGTCCATCTTCTGGAATAGATTATGGTCATAAATCGAGGCACCACTGTATAGCAGAAGACCTCCAGGGTGTGATTTCGACTGAAATTGGAAAAAAATCAGTGGGTGGGCCTTGAGGATTTCATTAAGTTTGAGCACTGGAGCAAATCTAACTGTAGCCACTATAGTTATGGTTGATGACAGGTGTCCATGTTAGTTCAAAAACACTCAACTTTTGGAGAATCTCTTTTTGTTGCAGCTTTTATTCCCTGTTGCTGTGATTGTATCTCTTCTTAATCCTCCCGTCTTCTGGACATTCTCAGCTCTCTCACCACAAGTGGGGGTGTGGGGTGGCTAGTGGGATTGTGGTATTCTGTTTACTCAAGGTGCATGTTAAAATATAAGAATGGAACAGCAGTGTGCCCATGTTTTACATGAGAATGGGGTGGGTGCAGTTGATCTGTGGTCTGAATTTTGTTGCTTTGCTGAGTAATAATCTGAACCAGAACTTTCCCCTTTAAACCAAGATTTCTTTGGGCTATGTTAATTTGGGGTATGTTTAATTTGTTTCAGGAGGTGAACTTGTGCAGTATGCCATCACAAACCATTTGTCATTGGAGTTTGTTTGGGTTTTGTGTCCTGAAACTCCCACCTCTACTTTATTCTCTTTCTTTTTTTTCAGTGACACACAGTTACTTGGATAGTTATACCCTAATGCAATGAATATTGCAGTGTTGCTTAAACCCTGCTTACACTTCCCACTTTAACCATTGAAACTGAGTTTAATGTACTACGAAATATAACACCACAAACTGTGACTATATCCCATTTCTGGAAAACGATGCCACATCTCCAGCTGTGAATTCACAACAAGAACAGCCATGTTGTGATTTCCTCCTTAACAAGATCTTGTCACCCAGCTGTTTTATCACAGTCTTTTTTTAATCAATGGTAAAGTGCAGCACTTTCAAATTGCCACTAGAGGACGTCTCAAACCACAAGTTCCATTTGTGTCATCTCTATCTTTACTGGCATCATTTGCGCAAAGAATGTAAAAGACTGGATAATAAGTCTTCTGGGGTCATTACATCTTGCATTGAAACATATTGAAATGTCTCTCAAATGTTTCAGTGAAAAATGCTACATTGCCCCAGTATTATATTAACTTGGCAGTATGTTTTGCTGTACTCAATGGTCCTTACAGATGACATACCACATACCAGCTAGGTACTACAATTTTTCCTTCACCACTCAGTAGGTGTTCTTCATATCAGTGTTGCTGATATTACTAAAAAAATAAGATTTTGGGATTTTGGAAAGCATGCTGTTCCACTTGTATGTTACCTTTGCAAGTTGATGTTTTCACTGGCTTATTAGAGGGCATAATTTAAGGTGCTATTGTAAAAGCTCTGTAGGGCCAGGAAAGCTTAAATAGCCCCATGTGTGATCCTGCCTAGATCCAGTAGTTAACTAAACAACATTGACCTGACACTAATTGAAGTGTTCTCTGTTCCATTAATAAGTTTGTTTGAGAAAGGGGCACGGTGGGGGAGCTTAGACCCTGTAGATGCAAAGCCTTTCCCAGTCTGCCTTTCCAACAGCCCTTGATGCTTCATGCTTTTTCTTTTACTGATGTTGGAAAAGGAAGTGCTCCAGTTGTTTTTGAGGAGGCAAGAAAAAATGGGATGAGGTCAGAGGTCTCCCCAGACTTAGAGAACTGATCTTTCCTGAGGTCTTTGAACACTCACTCTAGCCATTGGTGAAGGATGATAGTAGGTGTAGTCAAACCACATCTGAAGGGTTACACATTCTCCAACATGCTCCTGTGAACCTTAAGTGCCCATTTGCAGAATTGTTCCTGTGCTGAGTATAATTATTCAAACTTGCATCCCACCTTTCCCCTGTAAACAAAGCTAAATGTGATTAATGACAGTAATTAATTGTGATCCAAAGAGAAAGGCAGACTCCTTAAAAACACATCCATAAAAGTAAGTGACATCTACCAGTTGAAACCCACTTCAGCAAACAAACTTGAATTTGCCAAAAATAGAAACAAAAACCTTTCACTCTATAGCAGAAAGCTTTAGCTGAGGCTGGACATTTTAAAAGAAGAAAAGTCAGATCATGGGTTAACCTCTCCAAGTAAAGCAAGTGCACATGGTTGCATTCTTTTTTGAAGGGGCATCTCTTAGCCCAAGTAAACACTGCAGCATGGAAGAAAACACAGTCTTTGATAGTGCCAGCATCTAAAATAAACAGTTCTATCCACAGTTCCTATGCAGTATTTTTCTTTGCAACATTGGACTTTCCTTTCACTTCCAGGCACGTCCACAGCTGAGTGTCCTTTCGGCTTTGTCCCAACCACTTCATTACCTCTGGAGCTACTTGTACTCTGCTCTTCCTCAGTAACATGTAGGACGCCTTCGACCTGAGTGGCCCATCTTCCAGCGTCATATCTTTTAGCCTTTTGTTTTTGTTCATGGGGTATTCTTGGCAAAGATACTGGAGTGGCTTGCCAATTCGTACTCCAGATGGATTGCGTTTCGTCAGAACTCTCCACTATGACCTGTCCGTCCCTGCACGGCATAGCTTCTCTGAGTTACTCAAGCCCCTTCGCCACAACAAGGCAGCAAACCATGGAGAGGAGGCAGCAATCCATGAAGAGGATTGTGTGGAAGTGAAACGAAAGCTCGATGCTGCAAAGAAAAAAAACTGCATGGGAACCTGGAATGTAAGATCTATGAACCTTGGTAAGCTGGATGTGGTCAAACAGGAGATGGCAAGAATAAACATTGACATCCTGGGCATCAGTGAACTAAAATGGACAGGAATGGGTGAATTCAATTCAGAAGATTATCATGTCTACTATTGTGGGCAAGAAGCCTGTAGAAGGAATGGAGTAGCCGTCATAGTCAAGAAAAGAGTGGGGAAAGCTGTAATGGGATATAACCTCAAAAATGATAGATTGATTTCAATATGAATCCAAGGGAGACCTTTCAACATTACAATAATGGAAGTTTATGAACCAAACTCCAATGCTGAGGAGACTGAAATTGACCAATTTTATGAAGACTTACAACACCTTCTAGAACTCACAGACGTTCTTCTCATTATAGGGGACAGGAATGCTAAAGTAGGAAGCCTAGAGATAAAAGGAACAACAGGGAAGTTTGTCCTTGGAGTTCAGAATGAAGCAGGGCAAAAGCTAGTAGAGTTTTATCAAGAGAACAAGTTGGTCATCACAAACACTTTTCCAACAACACAAGAGGCGACTCTACACATGGAAATCACCAGATGGGCAACATCGAAATCAGATTGACTATATTCTCTGCAACCAAAGCTGGAGAAGCTCTATGCAGTCAGCAAAAACAAGACCTGGAGCTGATTCTGGCTCTGATCATCAGCTTCTCATAGCAAAATTCAAGCTTA